AAAACTAGGAGATAGGAAGTTGTTTTTTTTATCCTTCTTGGAAAGAGTCATTAAGTTCTACTTTTGTGTGGTTGTGAGAAGGGAGGGAAAGTGAGAAAATCCAACATTTGCAGTATGAGAAGGTAGAGCCGGAGCCCATCTAGGACAATGATGTACCTCATTATCTTATCTCCCGGTATGAAAAGAAGTAGAAACAAAGACCAGGGTCCCTCCCTAGTCAGTAGCCAGAAACCAGCTAGAAAGGAAAAAAGACAAAATTACCCTGAAGGAAGATTTTTTTAAAACATACTGTATTGAGAGAAAGGTTAGTGATCAGTACACTTACTTACAGTTTATATATTTTTTTAAAGTCTCAAAAGAATCAAATAAATTGGAAAGGAAAGGGGCACTAAAAACATAAGAAGCAATCATCAGAGGCAAAAAATGAAAAATTAAATATATTTATTCCTCAGTTGAACTAATGAATAGTAAAATTACAAAGATTGCTAAATGAAAGGCATAAGAAAACACAGAAATTAAAAAATAACAAAAAGCCCCATTAAGTCTTTTCCTCATAGTCAGATGGAAAAAACTATAAAAAGGAAAACTATGAGGACTCAAAACAATGAAACAGCAAAATAGTCTTCAACTTGAAACTGCAAAACTTGGTGAGAGCATCTCAGATTACACTAGAACTAAGTCTTTGCTGGTTAGCTGCAATTGTTCCAGGCTAAGACTGCCATAAGGAGTCACAGGGAAAGTTTGCTCTCCCCCAGATCATGATAGGCTAAGTAAGCAATCTTTTTTTGTCGAGAAAGTGTGAGCAGAAGAGTCACCAAGAGGAGCTCTCTATATAGAGTGTATTAGAATCACCTGGGGGCTGGTGAGGAATTCTGATTCCCATGATTGCTCACTAGGGATGCAACTTCATTACCTAAGAATGAGGCCCAGGGTTCCACATTTTTAACTAGTGTCTTGGGTGATTCCAAAACAAGTGGCCCTTGAATCTCACTTTGAGAAGCACTGCATTTGCAATTGCTATAGGAATCCCTCTGCTCACATGCTGTCTGTGTAGGTCATCTAGGTGAGTGCGAGACATCTTGTTTGGCTTTCCCCCAAAAAGGAACAAGCGCAAGTCTAGTCACACCCATATTTGGGTCAAGGGTAAGATTCAAGGCATTTTCCAGCAACCTGTAGAACCACTAGCAGGCCACCTCCCTGCTAAAGGCAGCAGTTTTGCTAAATTTATCAGACTACTACCTTCAAAGGTCCAAAGGAATACTGTGCTTTGAAAGCCAAAGTCAGATTCTTAAGATTCTACAGAAACAATCTATTTGAGGATATATGTAAGCACATATTTTAGAGAGGAAATATGAACTACTTATCCCAAGTCACTGGATGGGATTTTAAGTATATTTATTGGCTTAATCTGAATGGAAAATTTTGAAATGGGATTTTTTTGGAAGTTATCTCCAAATAATTAATATCACAAAGAAAAATAACAGACAGTTCTATATCTCATTTCTGTTAATATCTCATCTTGCTGAATTTTTTCTTCCACTCTATGATCCCAGACTTGGCTTGTAAAACTCCCCTTACATTTATATTTGTGAGAATCTCAGTATGTTACTGACTCTAGATCAAGCCCATAGAAAACTGTCTTGTTTTACTGACTTAAGAGGAGCTTGGACGAGAGTGTCCCTTTTCAAAGGGGGCCTCTTGAGTTACTTTACTCCTGAAGCAGAGTTAAAATATTTATTTTGCTTCAGACCAATGTAACTTCTAAAGGATCACAAATGTCTTTACTATCACTCTTCCATGTTTCTTTCAATTACAGAATCTCACGGTTTTTATGTTAATGATCCAATGAGTACTCAATAACGATACATTCTATAAAATAAAATATAAAATATTACTAGACTAGTAGGTTCTGTTTTTTTAATGGACATGATGGCATATCCAAGCATTTTAGTCTTGGTCTAATATAAGATGTGTTACATTTTTTAATGTTGTAATTGAAGCCATGAAACATTAACTCCTTTTGTGGGAGACTGAAGCATATATTTATATATAAGCTCCTTTATGCTATGTAATTCTTTATGCTATGTAAAATCACTCTTCTTTTTTCTAGTCCAGAGTAACTGCAGCAACTATTTAGCCTGGATATTCTGAGATAATCCTAATATTAAATTTATCTCCTGTTGTTAGACTCTATATCATAATGCAAAGCCACTAGAGAAATTTTTCTTTGGAAAATCTAATTACAAAGTTAATACATAACTGACATAATTTGAGCACCTCATGGAACCCTCTGCCCCACCAACCCTGTCTCCCACTCTTGAGAGGTATGGAGACCTGTTGAGAATAGCATTGATCTTAACCCTCAAGGCCTTAGGATGCTCTTGCTATATAAATTACATCACCTGTTTCCTGCTTCAACAAGAAAAGAGATTTCCTGCTGAATACACTGTGCCTGTTTTAAAGCTTTCTTATCTCTTAGGCATGTGCTGCTGCTCCCCTGATAATTTTTCCAACTCTGATCTGGTCTTGACCTCTGGTTTTCACCTATATTCTTGTTCTTACTCAGCTAAAATCTTCTGTTTTTGATCATCAGTTTTATCTCTCCCCATTGTTCTGGCTCTGCTGGCCCATGTTTTTGGTCTTAAATATCTATCACGTCCTTACTGGTGACTCAGCCTAATGCCCACCGCCGGCTTTCAAATTCTGCTCCCTACTGACTCCCACCCAGACTATTTCATTCCCTCTCTTCCCAGCTCCACAATACCCACTCCCTTCCTTATAGCTTCTAAACTTTGGTTTCTCTTCTTGGCCAATTTCCTAATATTTCCCTGATAAATTTCTGACCATTGAAGCTACTAGTAACAAAAGCAGAGATCCACTAAGAAATGAGTCTTCCAGGAGAAATATACATAAACCTGGGAGGAAAGTTGACACTGAAATTTGAGAGAAATTGAAGTTGAGCTTTAAAATTATGGGGGCTACATACATTAATAAATTGAGAGTTTTTTGGTAGATAAATCAGTTGTTCTGATTTATTCATTAGTAAAAAGAAGTATCAAGCAAGTAAAAAGATAGTAACTTTAATTATTTAACTGACTTGAGGGTTTTTTAAACCAATTTTATTCAGGCAATTTGATCAGAATAGTCAAACTTGTTTGTACATATGGTCCAGTCTAAATATATATCTACATATCTAAATATAAATATAAATATAAATATATATATATATATATATTTATAGAGAGAGATATATAATAACCAAGAGTCTGATATAAGGGTGATTTTTAAACTATTAAATGTTAGACAGAATTATCAGCCAGCAATACTAATCCAGGTACTTTCTAACTTTTCTAATTATAAATACATTCCTATATGCATATCCTGCTTGTTTTATTGCTGTTTCATTCCTTAACAATATCTAGCCTGACCTGTAATTTATGCCAAAAAACACTAATGCCAACTCCTGTTATTTCACATACCATCATGGTTTTTTGTTAGCTGTCTTCCAAAATACAGAGTGACTGTAGAAGCGAAGATGCCATTTCCAATTAAATAAACCACTCATAACAATGAGAAAGCAAATTGCACTCAGAATAAATGAAGAAAAGCAATCAATCATCTTGCCTTACCAGTACACTAAATACACTGGTTTCATTTGAAATACATCTTTTTTGACAAGCTTTCTCTGGAGGGCTAAAAACATTGTTTGAGAAGTTAGTAATAGATAGATGGTAGTTGAAGTCATGGGGTTTGATAATATTTCTAAGAGACACTCACTATAAGGCATTAAAAAAAAGAATCCAGGTTGGATTTGTAGGAGATAAATTTGTAACACGGAGGGTGGACCTTTCATGACCTCCCTAAAGTCAGGGCCAATTCTTGAAATCAAAAAATCTGTATGCAAGACTGTTGAAGAAAGAGGCAAAGTCAATCCATAATAAATATGGGTGGAGTTAGAAGTAAGCACTTACTAAATCCCTGTAGTGATCATGATTAAAATTTTTAGACAACATAAGAACCAAAAATAAATATTCCTGAATTTTATGGATTTTTTATGTGCTCTGTGGATACCTCAGTAACCCCCCAACCCACAAACAAGACTATACCACTGTTTTCTTTGCTACACATAGATGTTTAGTGGCCTTAGCCCTTAGTGAAATTGTAATTTGATTAAAACAACCTCCTGCACTTCAAAAATATGTAATGGAAACTACTCAGAAGTCATTTAATCTAAAATATTAAGTTTGCAGATGAGGAAACTAAGAATAAGATGAAAACAATATCTCAAATCTCAGACAGACCATTGCTTTGTCAATCCCTGTGACATTTTCTTCTTGGTGATAGGAAGCAGCTGTTTTGGGGGATTTTTCCCCAGAATGAAGGCCACATCTGCATGCGATTTGTGTATGCTCTTCTAGCCTGGAGTGTTGGCTAATTTTAAAGTCCAGACTTGGTTTTCATAATGGAACATGCCAAAAATTTACATTTCCTCATGAATGTAGCAGCATCTGCATTTATTGAGCATTAAACATACCAGGCATTGTGCTAGGTGCTTGATTCATTTAATCTCACTTCATCCTTACAACAATCTTCTGCACTGGATGTCGTTATTTTTCAAATGAGGACAATGAAACTAAGAAAATAGATATTATAACCCAGATAATATACTGAGTAATTACAAAATCAAGATTTAAATCCAGGTCCATCTCATTACCAAGGCTTTCCTGTGTTTCTTCCATCACTGCATTCTGCTACCAGGGTCCAGAGATAATAGAGGGCCAAAGGAGGTCAGAGTTACACCCACACACACCCACACACACACTGCTCTGGGGCAAAACTACAGGAACCAACCTGAGACTGCCCCATGGTTGGTGTGCACTGTGAGGAGAATGGTAGGTAATAATGCTGCTCCAGCAGTAATAAACACAGGCTTGATGGCAAAGAGTAGGAAAACACTACAACAAAGACTCTTACAATACAATCACCAGATTCAGTTTTACCAGAGCAGACTTTAGTGGCCTCCTTCATCAACTTCATGGGTAGAACAAAATATCCTGCCACAAAATTCTGGTGATCCTGAAAAAGAATGCACATCAGTATGAGATACCACCATATTGAAGTCATATATCCTAATTTCAGTATTAAATCTAGTCCAACATGGATTGTTGTAACAAATTTCAAACCCCACAAGATTAGAAAATGTTATCTGCAAGTTGCTAGGGACAGCTAGAAAGAACATATGGGGCTTGAACAACTTTTTTGATATGCCTTGACTTCCAGGAGCTTTGAGAAATGGATGCCACTTTAATAAATACCAGTGTCAGTTTTACACAGAATCTTGAAAGTAATTAATGATAGACAGGGTCAGATCCAAGGAGTTATTTTAGTTTTGGTAGTAGTTATGAATTTCAGTTTGTCAATATTAAAATATACACCCCAGGATATGGTCAAGGAAAGGGATGATGTTTGCCCCTCAGGCTTTCCTTGTGAAAACATCATGCCAGCTGATGTGCCAGATTCTGTCACTCCCTCGCTTAAAAGCCTTCAATAGTTGCCCATGGCATTTAGAATATAATGCAAACTCTTAATTTTATGGATTTTGTGGCTCTCCTTTTTGACTCCTCTAATTTATTTGTAGCCACTCAACTCATTCTATTGTCCAGTCATGGTCAATTTCTTTCCAAATACTGCCTCTTTTCCAAGCCTAGACTCATGTCTTTCCCCCTTACTGGAGCATTTCCTGCTGCAGTATACCCTGCTGCCACCCCTCCCAGCACACACACTGTTACCCACATAGTAACGCTGGCTGGTTCTGTCCCACTCACCCTTCAGTTTTTACTCTGACATCACTTTCTCCAGGAATTCACTCATTCCCGAAGTCTGGGTTAAGTGCCTTCCCATAAAGTCCCCACTTTCCTTGTACTAATGGTTCATTATCATTTCTTGTTATTTGGTTTATTTTGCCAGCTGCACTATAAATTCTATGATGGCTAAGACATGTTAGCAATTAGCAAATATTTGTTGACATATTGGAATACTAGACATTTGGAATACTGTGGTAAACTAGGTGTATAAGATCCTGCGTCTGCCTTGCTCAGCATTGCATCCTACCATGAAGCATATGATTTTCCTGTCAGTTAAGATGTATTTATGACAGAAGATACTTGTGGGAATATTATGGATCTTTTCATTCCCTGAATATATAGGAGGTAGGGCAACTTCTAGATGATCGAATCGTGCTGTCCTAGAAGGTGGAATCATATTGGCCCAGAGGGCAACCATTAGAGCCTGCCTCCTGCCTGGACTAGATCAGGCAGTGCCAATGGTGGAATACTTTCTGGCATCTTTGGAATACTTTATGGCAAACACTATGCTAGACACGAAATACTGTCCTTGTCTTCCTAAAGTCAACCTGTCTCAAAACACTCAGGGCATGAGTCCTGGTGGTCTGAATGGTACTTCTTTAATTAATAATAAAAATTCAGCTAGCACTAACCCATCACCAGATTACTTTCCTGTATGAGAGCTAATACACTTAACAGAACTACTGATACATGATATGAAGGCTCAGCAATCAGTTAAATTACAAATGAAGTCATCTGAGAATATCAACTGCAGAAAATGGCCATTTCTACCCAATGAGTTTAAATTTTGCTGAAGATTCTCAATTTAGACTCCATCTTTCTGGTCTATAGCACCTGGATTAAGTAGGCATCCTACTTAATTATTCAAATATATTGATATGTAAATCAGGCCATCAGTGAGGATGAAGTGAGATGATAAATTAATCCCTCAGCATGCTGGACTGTCTCTCCCTGGTAAAAATTGTGCTGCTTTATCAATTCAGAAGTTATTTCATTTGTCATAATTTCACTGAGGTCAGGGAATTATTACCATGTAGATGACTGACTCTCTAATTTCCTATTATAGTAAGTGCAATTCATATATGTAAGAATCTTCACCCACTGGGCATATATACTGTTTTACATTTTTCCCTCAATCTAAGAACCACTGGTAAAATGGAAGAGGTTGAAAGAGAGGGAAAGAGAGAAAGTGAAGAAAGAAAATAGACTGTTTTACCAGATGCCTGAAATGAGAATGAATGCACCTACCTGGTGGGTGCTTTGTGAAGAGATGTTTGTTAGTCTTGAGGCCACAAGAGAAATGTATAATTTATTAAGAGAGGTATTATGGACTTCTGAATATGCATGTTAACCTTCTTTTCTTCCCCAAATCTTTTTTCTTTCTATTATGATATTGAAAAAAGTATTAATACTACTAAGTAGATATCGGTCTGGTTCTGACTGTAGCACTGTTAGAATCTTTAGGGGACAAGCCCCAGAGAAAGTGAGCCATTTCATTCTACAGAACCCTTGAAGGGGTTAGGGGCAGGGCCAGACAAGCATCAATGCAGGCAGCGCCCTTGAAGAAACACTAGGCTGAAAATGGGAATTATTCAAAGTCTACACACTAACCAGAGGGATCTTTCAAATGGACAATTGTTAATTACAGGAAAAGCCAAAAGATGTCTGAGAAAGGAACTTAGAACAGCCATAGTTGTTATATAATCATAATAATATAACAGCAATATTTATTATTTACATAATCATAATAATGTTAACATGCCTGTTTAACCAAAATGTTAACATTTTGGTTAGGAGGCTGAAGAGGAGGAAAGTTGGGGTGTGTTGATGGAAGGGAACTGCTGGGGAGGATGAAATTTTTAACAAAGTAAATAAATTATATCTAAAATTAATATATCAAGAAATATCACTTAGAAATATTATTTCTATATACAGAGGAAGTAGCAGGGGTGAAAAAAAAATATGAGTTGAAAGTTGTTGAGTCTGGAGCATGGGGTAGAGTAGGTGGAGTATGAGAAAGACCTACAGCTTTCCAGCAAGAAACATTTAGTGTACATGAGTTCTTAATACTATGTGCTTTTATTACTTGGATAAAAAAATAATAATAATAATTTAAGAGGAAAAGAATTGCCTTTGGATAGGGATATCAGGGATATTAGCCTGGAAGAAACCTTGATTCCATACTTTTGTGTACCGAGGATGTCAGGATCTCCTTGGTGTGTATATAGGAGATACATAATCATGCCTGAATTGGTGCATCATTAAAGCTACCATAATAGTTTTTACAGCAAAAAGATGATAGCCCAAAAATTAAGACCACGAAAGGTTATACTGTGACTCTTGTAAACCTCAACACAGTACCAGAGTGTTCTTTACAAGGACTGTTGACTGCTGTATTTTAAATGCCTCTCACAGTGCCTGGTCAACATGGGTGCCTTAGAAGTAGTTGTTGAAGAAAATGTGCAAAGATTGCAGAGGTGGTAGTTAATACACTATTGCTGAAATAACTGAAGGGAGTGGAGAGAAAGGCAGGAAGGAAGTTCTAAGAAAGGCTCAACTTGCAAAAGGCCAAATAACTAGGAGCCATGCCAAATTTTCTCCCTTTTAAGGACTCAAAAGCAGAGCTAAGTCAGGGTCAAACCACTAAGAGAGGGAAATGAGAATAAAATAACTTCAAGGTGGTATATCTGTAATTTAATTTGCTTGGTAAGTATTTTGTGTATGGAGAGAATGGAGCTCATGAGTTGAGAAAACAGTTCCATAGTTCATATATGTCACTCTGGTTGATATTTTAAAGTATAGGAAACCAGTGAAGTATTCATCACTCAATTTGGATGGATGAGAACATGTATAAAAGTCTATGCTATATACAACACAGCCAACCAAGTTCAAAATATAATTTTGAAAAATTATATGGTCTTCTGTCTAAGTAGGAATACAGATTCTATGTTTAAGAACATATATTAGTTTTCTAGGGCTGCTGTGACAAACTTCCACAAACTTGGTGCCTTAAACAACAGAAATGTATTGTCCCACAGTTTTAGAAGCTCAAAGTCTACGATAATTGCAGGCCTCTCCCCTGGCTTCTGCTGGTTTTCTGGAAAATTTCAGCACTTTTGGCTTACAGATGTGCCACCCCATTCTCTGCTTTCATGTTCACGTGGCATTCTGTCTATGTGAGTGTCTATATCCAAATTTCCTCTATTTATAAACATATTTATATGGCATTACAGGTCTGCTCTACACAACCTCATCTCTACATCTGCAACAGCCCAATTTCCAAGTAAGGTCACATTCTGAGGGACTAGGGTTAGGACTTCAACATATGAATCCAGGAGACACAGTTAAATCTATAAACAGAAAAGTAGTTTAATCTAGTCTAGGTTTTTAGAATAATAATACTCCTTTCTTCCTAGTACTTTGAGTCAGTGCTTTTTGTTCATTACACCTACCAAAACCTACTTGGAAGTAGGCAGCTAAACAAAAGGGTGGTGACTGGATAAGCAAATGTATCTGATTGTGGTTGTTAGGCTGGGGCCAGCTCTGAAAATGGTGTGGGGCTTTGGGAACCAAGACTGGTAGAGCAAGTACCTCTTATCTTGAGGAAAGCACTAAAAGCTAGGAAAAATATGAAATTTTGAATCAAGTGAATTGGAAAAGGAAGAGGGTCTAATAGAAGAGAATCCAGTTCCCAAAATCAAAGATTACAAAACCAAAAAGGGCCAATGCCAGATAAATGGTACAAAATTTTAAAACTAAGGCAATGAAGAGCCAGTGAGAAGAGAGCAGAACACAGCAGGCTGAGCAAGCAAGTCAGAGAACTGAAGGAGAAACACCTTAGAGCCACGCTCTTACTCCATTGCCCTTTATGTGCTCTATATGGCAGGAGATATGGGCAGGTTAGAGAGAGTTACAATGCCAGGATTAAGGGGCATAGTAATAGTTTTTCTATCCAACTATGATATTTTTGATTTTAATAATCAATGTGATATTTGAAGAGCTTAATGTAAAACTGCACCTGCTATCATTAAGTTGCCCACACTTTGAAAATACAAATATATCAAAGTTAGAAAGGAAACATTGTTCTGTGAGGAAACAAAAAGTTCTCTTAAGACTAAAGAACAAAAAGAACCTGTGTACTCTAGGAACTAGAGAGTAAAAATATCTCTAGGGCTAAGCACAGATTAGTATCTCAAGAAATTATCACTATAA